ATTTCTCCATCAATGCATTAGTGGGCAATCCATCAATCTCCTCAAACGGCACTCCCGCTTGTCGCAGTGCCCTCCACAGATCTGTTCTAGAGGGGCCCATTGCCCCCCCTTTACGACCCCTTGAATGTGGATCAATCCTGGGTTTATTTTCAGTTCTAGCTCCCTCTCTCCTCGTCTCAGACCAATCACCCAGCGTGGTGAGTTCGCCAAGACGATCTTTTATCGCGGCAAAAGTCTGGTCTGCCGCGCCAAACAACAAGCTGGTCACCATGGGTTTATAATGTGGTGGGGCATGTCTGATGAGGTGATCTCTAGTTGCCTTAGAGATGTTACAGTCCACCACTCCAGCTCCCCCGTTTCGAGCCACTTGCTCTCTAATAGTGAGTCTGGTGAGCCGCTGAATGGCATCTCTCACTGTCTGCCATTGCCCTTTAATCTCAGACCAGTCCGCCGTGGTAGGATAGATTACATGACATGCCAGAGCATATGCATCCCCCACATTGAAATCTTCATCAGCTGGCAATGCCCGGACTGTAGCCCGGTATTCAGCATTTATCTGTGCATCAGTACTTAATCCTGAAAATCTCATGGCATCACCGGCATCTATGGCTATATCACACGCGCCATCCTCCATAAGGCGATTAAGCCAGGAGTCAGTTGGTTCGCCTGGGCGCTGTTTCAGCTTCCCATTCATGTGATTTAACTCATCTTGTGAATAATCCTCTAGCGTTGTTAGCAGCCTAGGGGCGGGTTGTGGCTGCTGTTGTAACATCCTTCTTATATTACCCGCCTCATCGAGTTCCGGCCGTCCCTGATCATCCACCATATCTACCAGTATTGGTGGAATAATTTGCTGTTCTCGCCGACGCCTAGTAATAGGTCTTTGTTCTGACATCTTTATCCCCTGTAATGATGGATACAAGGGCTGAGGTGGTGGGTCAGGTTTAATCGCCCACTCCTCCTCCTCATCATCCCCCCAAAGATCCCCGTTCCATTTCTCCGGGTTCCAATCTTCACCAACATTCTTTACAAACGCCCGGATCTGAGCAGGACCTGTTCTACGAGGTCGCTTCTTTTCCTTCCTTTGCGCTCGAGACACAAAAGTCAGCGTTTTATCCAAAACATTCTGAGCATGCTTTAGCTCTTTCCCCATCACACACACTCTCTGCTCAAACTCTGAGCATGATTTTCCAACTTCTTCAGCATGGATTTTCTCCTGCGCCGCTCGCTCTCTACAACTGCTCAATTCTAACTCCTGTTTTCTCCATGCTTCTGCAAAAAGCCACATCATATCTCTCACTCCTGCCAGCGGCGCTTTTTCTTTAACTTCTATCCGCGTCAAACGGTCCAGCACCACGGCGGGGCTGACCACTCCATTTAACTCTCCCCACGGCCCAGGGCGTCCACCACGCTGCCTTAACATATCACCAATGGTTCGGAACTCCTCCGTTTCCCAGCCGGGAATCGGCACGGGAATCGGCGTTCCCTCCCCAGAAGCACTCGGCTCCTTTTTGCTTCTCCAAAAACACTTCATTGTTGCTGGAATAGCTTGACTGATCCTGTTCGTGACGCCAAAAATGTTCTAAAATAAAATGTTTTATTTTATTTTAATTACCTTAAAAGACTCAAAGTCTCTTTTTTACACTTTATATTTATTTAGTCAGGATCGTTGTCAAGTCGACGCCAGAAACAATGAAACACAACTTGAATATCAGATGAACAACAAGGCTTTATTCAACCGGCATTCATACAAGTTATCAATCATGAACGAAACATTTCTCTTACCGTTGCTTATGGGTGGAGAGCTGAACACCCCAGTTAGAAAACGTAATCCATGATAGGTGAAGAACTGAACACATGTAATCCATGAACCTCGTCAGGTAGAATCCTTCAAGCAGCTCTCCCCCCTGAGCCCTGCTCTGCTCCTTATACATTCCCTGATGTGCGTGCAAAGCTGCACACCTCTACCATGATTACCTTGATTACATCCTCATGATCACATTATGTTCGGCTCTACCATGATTACCCTTGATTACATCCTCATGATAAGTGTGATTGACAAACAGTAGTTATCAATAACTTATATAAAGCAATTATACAACAGATGACAAGTTCATTTTTATTACAGCCTGGCAGAAGAACCTGTCAAGATGGTCTTCAACTCCCACCTCCGGCAGAGCTTTGACCACGTCCCGAGAGCAGTGGGGGACATTGAGTCTGAGTGGGCCTTGTTCCACTCTGCGATTGTCGAGGCGGCTGTTGCTAGCTGTGGTCGTAAGGTGGCCGGTGCCAGTCGTGGTGGCAACCCCCGTACCCGCTGGTGGACACCAGAGGTTCGGGGAGCCATCAGGCTGAAGAAGGAGGCCTACAGGGCGTGGCTGGTCTGTGGGTCTCCGGAGGCAGCAGACAGGTACCGGATAGCCAAGCGGGGTGCAGCAGTGGCAGTTGCCGAGGCAAAATCTCGGGCGTGGGAGGAGTTTGGTGAGGTCATGGAGAAAGACTATCGATCGGCTCCAAAGAGGTTCTGGCAAACTGTCCGGTGCCTCAGGAGAGGAAGGCAGCAACTCGCTCACACTGTTTACAGTGGGGATGGGGAGCTGCTGACGTCAACTGAGGCTATAGTCGGATGGTGGAAGGAATACTTTGAGGAGCTCCTCAATCCCACCAATGCGCATTCCGAGGAGGAACCAGAGCCGGGAGACCTGGGGATGGACTGTCCGATCTCGGGGGCAGAAGTTGCTGAGGTAGTCAAACAACTACACAGCGGCGGAGCCCCGGGGGCGGATGAGGTTCGTCCTGGGTATCTCAAGGCTATGGATGTTGTAGGGCTGTCATGGTTGACACGTCTCTACAACATTGCGTGGTCATCGGGGGCAGTTCCTAGGGAGTGGCAGACCGGGGTGGTGGTCCCCATCTTTAAGAAGGGTGACCTGAGGGTGTGTTCCAACTATAGGGGGATCACACTCCTCAGCCTCCCTGGAAAGGTCTACTCCAAGGTACTGGAGAGGAGGGTCCGATCGATAGTTGAATCTCAGATAGAGGAGGAGCAATGTGGTTTTCGTCCTGGCCGTGGAACTGTGGACCAGCTCTATACCCTTGCAAGGGTGATGGAGGGGGCATGGGAGTTTGCCCAACCAATCCACATGTGCTTTGTGGATTTGGAGAAGGCTTATGACCGTGTCCCCAGGGGCACCCTGTGGGGGACGCTCCAGGAGTATGGGGTGGGTGGCTTTCTGTTAAGGGCCATTCAGTCCCTTTACCAGAGGAGCATGAGTTTGGTCCGCATAGCCGGTAGTAAGTCGGACCTGTTCCCAGTGAGGATTGGACTCCGCCAGGGCTGCCCTTTGTCACTGGTTCTGTTCATCACTTTTATGGACAGAATTTCTAGACGCAGCCGTGGTGTGGAGTGTGTCGAGTTTGGTGGCAGGAGAATCTCGTCTCTGCTTTTTGCGGATGATGTGGTCCTCCTAGCTTCATCCAGCTCTGACCTTCAGCTCTTGCTGGGTAGGTTCGCGGCCGAATGTGAAGCGGCTGGGATGAGGATCAGCACCTCCAAATCTGAGACCATGGTTCTCGACCGGAAAAGGGTGGCTTGCCACCTCCGTGTTGGGGGAGAGGTCCTACCTCAAGTGGAGGAGTTTAAGTATCTCGGGGTCTTGTTCACGAGTGAGGGTAGGAGGGATCGGGAGATCGACAGGCGGATTGGTTCGGCGTCTGCAGTGATGCGGACGCTGAGCCGATCTGTTGTGGGGAAGAGGGAGCTGAGCCAGAAAGCCAGGCTCTCGATTTACCGGTCGATCTACGTCCCAATCCTCACCTATGGTCATGAGCTTTGGGTAATGACCGAAAGAACGAGATCGCGGATACAAGCGGCCGAAATGAGTTTCCTCCGTAGGGTGGCCGGGCTCAGCCTTAGAGATAGGGTGAGGAGCTCGGACATTCGGGAGGGACTCGGAGTAGAACCGCTGCTCCTCCGGATCGAAAGGAGCCAGTTGAGGTGGTTTGGGCATCTGGTCAAGATGCCTCCTGGACGCCTCCCCGGGGAGGTGTTTCGGGCATGTCCTGCCGGCAGAAGGCCCCCGGGTCGACCCAGGACACGTTGGAGAGGTTACATCTCCAATCTGGTCCGGGAACGCCTTGGGGTCCTGCCGGAGGAGCTGGTGGAGGTGGCCGGGGAGAGGACGGCCTGGAGCTCCCTAGTTGGGATGCTGCCCCCGCGACCCGGACCCGGATAAGCGGAGGAAGACGAGACGAGAAATACAAAAATCAGTTTTAAAAAAATGTCCATGACTGACGAGTATGTGGTGCCATTTGTACAGTCAAACAGCAGTATTTGGGTCATTTAGCTTGCCATAAGAGAAGAAAGAATGGCATTTCATTTGTCAAAGTAATATTTTCACCACGTCATTCATACATTTATAAATGTTAAAATTCCCAACTAAATATTTAGTTTGTGAAATAAATGTTTAGCTCCAGATAAAATATTTTGTTAGTAAATTACATTTTTTTTTCTGGACTAAATATATTTAAATATATTTAAGTATATTTACTCAACAGTAAATATACAAAACATATGTATAAAACTACAGCCTAGAGGCTCTTTTATGCAATGTCAGGGATGCAGAACTGTCAAGTACACAGGTGGCAGGAACAGCCAATCACACGTTGGCAGGTATCAGCAGAGCCAATAGATGAGCGCGTGGACGGTTCTAATGGGAAACAGGCTTCAGCACAGGTGGTTGTTTTCCGCTTGGTCCTCGTGCTCAACCAGTATCTATTTAATATAATATAGTGTAATATTGTTTTGGGACGGTAACAATTTCAGGGGAGAAAAACTGACTTTGGAAAAAGTGGGGAAACATGTCCCTCCTGTCCCCCCTAAAAACCATCTCCACGTCTGGACAAATAGCCTAATGGTCACAATCAGAACTGAAGTAATTTATTCATGATTACTCTTTTGTGTCTGAGTTACTCCCATGTTTGAAAGCAGAGATGCTTAAAAGGACTGCAGGGGCTTGTCTTCTGTCCATCCATGTCCACAGAAGCTCGTGACTCTGTTGCTCTCCTCTTCCTCCTCAGTCCTCACGTCGACCCTCTCCCTCCTGAACAGCTCGTTGCTCATTGATCACAGCCTACCTGGCAGGTGTGTTCGCTGTGCTGTGGTGGGAAACGGGGGCATTCTCAGAGGTTCGCGACAGGGGAAGAACATTGACAGCCATGACTTCATCTTCAGGTGAGACATAGCTGTAAACATTGGAAGGTTCTTGGACCAACTAAATCAGAATTTATGAGGTTTTAAAAGTCCACCTTGAACAGTCACCTGGCTTTGGTGAAGTTTAAGAGCCTCGATGATTCCAGGAGCTAGGAACTTTGCACTTTAGCCAGTTTTTTCATGGTAAATTGGTCCAAAGTAAATGGCAATACAAGGAGTGGTTAGGAGGAGCTTTCATGGAAAAATGTCAGAGTTCCAGAGGACCTAACCTGGATGGGTTTTAGGGTTCGACCCTGAAGCCAAGCCACAGGTTGAGGTTCATGTGCTTGGTGTCTACTTTACTTGTGCTCAGACTTCCACCTGCAGACCCACCACCTGAAGGAGGAGCTTTAGGATGTCCGCTTCTTCCTGGATCAGGTTGTGGACTAAAGCGGGAGCTTTGGCAGCCCAGTCCCTGGACATGGAAAATGGTGTTTGGGACATGAAATGGCACCTCTCTGGGAGTGATGGCTATTGACTAGATGCAGCTGTGAAGCTCAAGTCCTCCTGATGGGTAGAGATTTCCCTGACAAATGTAAATTACCTTATAAACAAAACATATTATAATTAATTCCTGTCTGGTCTGTTACGCCGGTAGGTCAGATCTGTTTCCGGTGAAGGCTGGACTCCACTTTAGTGGACAGAAATTGTAGGTGCAGCTGCTGGGTGGATGTTGTTTGGTTGCAGGAGGATCTCTTCTCTTCTTTTGTGGATCATGTGGTCCTTTAAGCTTCAAAATGTGACGTTCAACCCCTACTGGGGAGGTTCGCAGCCAAGTGTGAAGCAGCTGAGATGAGGATCAGCACCTCCAAATCTGAGGTTTCTCAACCAGGAAAGGGTGGATTGCCAACTTTGGGTTGGAGGAGAGGTCCTGCCTCAAATAGAGGAGTTTAAGTACCTCAGAATCTTTTATGAGTGAGGAAAGAAGGGAGCAGGTTGATTTGGTGAAGGACTTGATGTAGAAATGTTGCTCCTGCACACGGAGAGGAGATAAGCCAGGACCTACAACCACAGCGTAATAACTGTTATACAGGGCTTTGATTATGCTGTTGGGTGTGTTATTGGGATTTTACAAATATACTCTTGGTAACCTCACAACCTCAGCACAGGCTCCCTGCAATCTTAAGAAGACCCCTTGAGAGGGTCCCGAACCCCAGGTTGGGAACCACTGGTCTAGGGCACACCTGGAGTGTGTTATTCATGCATTTGTCCTGTCCCGACTGGACGACTGCAAAGCCTTGTATGCCAGTCTGAGTCAGGGCGCGGTCGCAAGGCTGCAGCTCGCCCAGAACTTGGTTGCAAGATTTCTGACTGAAACTAAATGCTGGGAACACATCACTCCGGTGCTGTCGGCCTTATACTGGCTCACAGTGCAGTACAGAGGCAAATTTAAGATACTCTTGCTTGTGTACAGGGCTCATCAAAACACTGTTCTTCTATCTGTCAGCACTACTGCTCTGACACGTCCCAACTCGGCTGAACGGAAGCTGTTGGTGGTCCCCCGCTTCAAATACAGATCGGGGGGGTTGGGGGGGGGGGGGGGGGATCATGCGCTTTTGGTTCTGGCTCCAACGCTCTGGAACAAGTTACCTTTGAGTGTTAGGCAGGTGCCATCGCTTCTGGTTTTTAAGTCTCACTTGAAGACTCATTTTTATGTGATAGATTTCAGCGTTAGGGATCACAACACTGCCTTGATCTTTTATACATGATTTTATTAGGAATGCACAATATATCGACATCAATACCAGTATCAGCCGATGTTTGTCATTTTCTAACAAATCGGTATCGGTCTGATGAAGTAAACTGGGCCGATATTAACAACCAATATTTTTCCTTCTTGTTTCCATTTGTTTATCTGTTGCAGAGGGTGAGAGGGGTGATGTGTATTTGTGATTGTAATCATCTCAGAAGTGTAAATGTGTGTGTTGTGTGTACATAATAATGTAAATTCAGCTTTAATAATATTCATTCTATACCAAATCTGCTGATTTTTGAAGCATTAATGTCAGCATGTCGGTATCAGCAGATATCGGTTATCGGCCCAAAAATGTCATATCGGTGCATCACTAGTTTTTATGATTGTTTCCTGTTTTATTCAACTTTCTCTTAATGTTCTATGATTGTTTTCATTTTTTGTCTTTCTTTCAATGTTCTATGCATGTTTGGTTTTATTCAGCACCTTGGTCTGCTGATAAGGACCTTATAAATTAATTAACTTCACTGAACTTTATTATTGGGGACATTCTTTAGAAGCTGTTAGTTTGAGAACTTTAGATGGATCCGTTGATGTGGCAACTGGTGTAATTAGTGTCTTGTGTTTTCAGGATGAACGGAGTAGTGATAAAAGGGTTTGAGGAAGATGTGGGGACAAAGATCTCCTTCTACGGTTTAACCGCCAACACCTTAAAGAACTCCCTGAGCAGGTACTGGTCTGACGGCTTCACCAAAGTCCCCCAGAGTCCAGTAAGAATCGTTCAGACACAAACCGGTGAGGAAATTCAGCATCCGTAATCCTGCGTGTGTGTGTGTGTGTGTGTGTAGGAGATCAAGTACATCTTCATTCCATCAAACCTCAGAGATTATGTGATGATGGAGGCTGCTATTCAGGGCAGGACCATCCACATAGGCAGCGACGAGGGAGACAGGTGTGTTAAACACACCTGTGTCATGATATAGTGCATCAGACCTGTGTTCTCTTTTGTGTATTCATTCTGTGTTTGTCTTTATCCTTTTTCTTGTTCTATTTTTTGCACCGTTTAGTGACATGTATCAGCTAGCATCTCTAGCCGTCATCAGAGATCACCGGTGTTGGTGCTTTTATCCCAGGGTAGCAGAGGATGCTACACGGATCATAAACTCAGAATGTAAAACATGACTTTTGAATTCAGATCCATTTGTTTGGGTACAGCGCAGGTACAGAATTACATCAGCAGGTGGCGGCGTTGAACCATGTGGAAGTTGATCTGAACCGCTGTCTTCATAAACCACAAACCAAAAATTAGGATTTAAAGTATTTAAATTGAGGCTGGGCTGACTGACTGGTACAAGTCTGGTCAGTTTTATGATGAACCGTCCACACGCAGAAGAACAAAAATAAAACAAACATGACATCCTGTTGTTCACATGAAGGTTTGTGGCGTTCCTACATGAAATACTGGAATAAAGCCACGATACCTGAGGCTTTCAGATGGCCACAGTTCAGTAAGAAATAATTAATTACACCAGTCATCTCAGGAATGATTATAGCTAAGCTCTGCAGGATCCAGTTTGTGTATCAGAAGCAGGTTTTTATTGATGATGTTTTCTTTCTGACCTCACAGCCCCAACAACTACTTTGGCCACAAACCTGCTGAAAACTTCAAGATGCTCCACCCGGAGTTTATTTCCTACGTCACACACAGGTGAATTGGTCCCACAGAGCTGATGTCCATCTCAGCGTGCTGGATATCCTCAGCAGGGATGAAAACGATCTGCTTGTTCCTCAGCTTTCTCTCATCCCACCTGATGACCAACATCACGACCTCTGACCTCTACATGCTGAGCACCGGAGCTCTGATGCTGCTGACTGCATTACACACCTGTGACCAAGTAAACACATGTACACACACACACACACACACACACACACACACACACACACACACACACACACACACACACACACACACACACACACACACACACACTCACTCACTCACTCACTCACTCACTCACTCACTCACTCACTCACTCACTCACTCACTCACTCACTCACTCACTCACTCACTCACTCACTCACTCACTCACTCACACACACACACACACACACACACACACACACACACACACACTCACTCACTCACTCACTCACTCACTCACTCACTCACTCACTCACTCACTCACTCACTCACTCACTCACTCACTCACTCACTCACTCACTCACTCACTCACTCACACACACACACACACACACACACACACACACACACACACACACACACACACACACACACACATTTTGATTTGAACTTTAACACTTGTTAAAGGTGATGAGCTACATTGTAGCCAAAGCTACCCAGGGGCGCACTGACCAAAGCGAGGCTGCTGAATACTGGCGCCATCAGTCCCTTCGACCATCAGTAGCAGGCAGTGTGGTTGACTTGCCCAAGGACACGACAACCATGACAGACTGAGTGGAGCACGATCCCGCAACCTTTTGTGGAGGAGTCAGCATGATTATTCAGCTCACCAGGCATAATTGGCACCATTATTGAGTAATTTTAATCACTTTTGCACACCAAATGCTAGTACCTGCTATTCACTTCCGTTGTTTATGCTAAGCTAAAGCAGACGGACTGCTGCCAGACCCGGAGAATTGCTGCACTGGTCACAAAATGCTTTTTTCTCACTTATCTAACTCTGGGGAATACAGCAATAGACAACATTTCTCTTAAACTGTTGATAAATTTTTCAAGTCTGTAATGGAGAGTCTAACTCATTTGTTAATGTTTAGAGATGAATTTACACTTATTTAACAACGCCGTTTCTATTCTAAAAGAGCTGCTATGAGATTCCTCAACTTCCTACAGGTTTCTGCTTACGGATTCATCACCAGGAACCATGCTGCATTCTCTGATCATTACTACGACTCTGAAATGAGGCCTTTGAGGTTCTTCGCCAACCACGATCTGCAGATGGAGGGCCACCTGTGGGAGGCACTGCACCTCCGGAGGATCCTCAGGTTGTACCAGAGGGGAGGAGATAGCTGATGGAGGCGGGGGAGAGGACAGAACTAAACGACGAGGGTCTGAAACCACTTATTTATTCTCTGTGAATCCATCTTTCCAAACTCTTCCCGAGCAGCTTGAGAGCTTCTAGATAAACACGTCAAAAAAAATGTTAGGAACGCAAACCATCCAGGGTTTGATGATTGAACATTTAAATTGTTTACTAAAGACAAATGAAAAGGTGTCAAATTTAAGACCAGGAAACAAGTCTGATCCATCCGTCCATCCATCCGTCCGTCCATCCATCCATCCATCCATCCATCCATCCATCCATCCATCTTTACTTATTGGGTAATGAAGGCAGCAGGTCCAGATGGAAAGAGATGTCATACCCATGAGGTCACCCTATAGGTCCTCCCTGGCTTCCCAAGTGGTCTCCAGCTGGTGAGACCTCCAGAGGGAGCAGACCAGGAGTCACTCTAATCGGAACGATCTCATCTGACTCGTTTCAGTCAGGAGGATCAGCAGCTCTACTCTGTTCTCCCCAGATGATGGAGCCAACATCATTGCAGATGAAATCCTAATCCATCATTCTGCCTCTCCTCCAGCCTGCCTTCACTCAGGAACAGAACACCAGAACTCCTCCACTGGAGGCGGAAACTCCCTCCCGGCCTGGAGGGAGAAATAAATCTTCTGATGGAGAACCAGGACCTTAGACTGGATTATCTTTTATTATAGTTGTTCAAACACCTCATGCTGCATACACATTTGTTTTTATTCATTTTGTATTTTAAACTTAGTTTTGAAATTGTGACTAAATTTAGTGTTTCTTTACAAATATTTTAATGTAGTAGAAGGTGAGCTGTTCAGGGTTTAGTTCAGATTTATTTCACGTTTTATCTCAGCGTCATCATTTAACGTGTCCAGTAAAACCAGTTTCAGCTGTTCCCACTTCGTAATATCTCTGTTCCTTCTCCAACATTCTGATGATGAGGATTAGTGATGAAGAGTTCCCATCCTTTCTGCAGTTTGAAAACATTCAGCAGAACCGAGCAGAACCAGGCGTAAGGAACCTAAAACTAGCGTGTATTAAATCTGTAAAGGAAACGCTCACACATACAGTTTGACTTGTAAAATTAAGTTTTATCAACAAAAAGGCTTTGAAGGAGCTCCTCTCCCAGGGTGAATGTGGGTCACTGCAGTTTCATAAAGATTCTGCAGAAAAGGCTGAACACAGCAGGAAAAAGATGGCTCGAAACTCCAAAATAAAAGTCTGGTCATTAACGATAAATATGGCTTCTGGTATGTGTCGATCTGGAAAAGAGTCAAGCTTTAATTTGTTCATCAAGAGCTCAAAAGGATTTGTCTCGATCATGTACATTTAGGAAACAATGTAGTACTAAAATGTTAAAGTCCTACTAAACTTTATTTTAAAATAAATGTTCTTAAAGCTGCTAAAGGAAATTATAGTTTATTTTTGCATTCATGAACAGTTATACTGTATTTCCAAAGCTTAAAGATATGAGAATTCTTCCTGCTGAAGGAAGTTGAAGAAGCTGTTTGTACCAGAAATGAAAAGCAATCCCCTCAAGTTTATTCTTTTTATTCGGTCGACTGATCAATGTAACACTTCTATTTTACAGAAATTGTACATTTTTTCCTCAAAAACCGTTAAACTGAGCCTGAGATCTGTGGACTCAGTGGTCTTCTTTACAAAGCAGCTGAAAACTCACATGTTCAGGCTGGCTTCTGTGTGCCCTTCATCACCACCCTCTCCTTATTCTGCTCTTTCTAACAATTACAACTTTCCCTGGATCCACTGATTTCCCTCTCTTATTCATCTTCTTTCTCCCATTCTTTACATTTTTAATCACATTTTTTTTCCTAATTAAAAAATCTTTTTAATTGTTCTTGTGAAGCGCCTCATGATTTTTTACCTTGAGAGGCTCTACATAAAACAATGTTTTCATTCTTTATTTCAAATAAAATCCAAAATCAGAATTATGATGCATCGTTTTAAAACTGCTTGTTTTACATGTCCTTTATTATGGTTGAAGAATTTTTTTCCATTTTAGATGAATACAGTGTAATAAATTAATAAAAACCATCAAAATGTTTTAAACACCGGAAGTTGTGAGAAATTTAAAAAAGTGAAACGAGCGAATTAGTTTTATTTTGAAAGTGTTTCTCGGAAGTTGTATGAAGCGTTCATGGTCCCTTTACGGTGTTTGTAAAATCGAGAGAATCCAGCGGAGCGAATTTGGCATTCAGGGAGAGGAGGGAAAAGTCGAAGGCTCACGAGGATACGAAGACGTTAAAGTACCGAAGTTGGATAATTACTCAGTAATTGTTACGCTAAATGTTAACGGAACTAGAATCTTATGTAACCCGAAGGACTCGGAACTTTCTTGGATTCTTTGCTCTTGGAATAACGTTACTTTTCCTGCCCTTAGGAGTTTCCCGTTGCTGGTTGTTAAATTTGAGCGGTTTTAGTTTTGGACTCGTTTCCAAAAACGGTAAGTGCTATTTTACATGTTGTAGTGTTTTTGTGAAAAACGGAAGGAGTTTAGAAAAAACGGCTCGGTTCTGTTCTAAGTTCGGTCCGAAGGTCGGTGGCTGGAGTCACAATGGTGTGTTTACATACCGAAATCATGTCGCGATTTTCCAGTTTCTCGGCTTTTGGGTTCCCCAGAGTCCTCATAGTGGGGAGGCTCGGTGTGCGGTAGTTGGGTCTTGTTTGAGACACTTGTCCGATATCCGCTCCTCTGGTTCTGGAAGCGGGGAAGATTCGAAGCGCCTGGGGGGCTAGTGGGAAGCGGGGACGAGCTGCGGGTACATGGGACTGACAGCAGCAGCAGCCCCGTTATGTAACGGAGGACCAGAGTAGAGTTTGATCCACCAGAGAACTCTTTGTTGATGATCCTTCAGAGCTGAGAGGAACTGGAGCAGATATGAAGCTCTGACTGACCTCATTCCTCCTCGACTGGAGCAGCAGAAGTGGACGAACCAGGGAGATGAGATGTTCAGAACCACCCTGACATGTTTTCATTACTCTGTGGGTCTCAGGGTGTGCAGTTAAAGTGTCCTTTCATCTCACCTGTCACAGGTGTGTCTTCCTTTAGGACACACACACACACACACACACACACACACACACACACACACACACACACACACACACACACACACACACACACACACACACACACACACACACACACACACACACACACACACACACACACACACACACACACACACACACACACATCTGTAAGAATTTGGTGAAATATTGATTCTAGTTGAGGACAAGTATCTGACCTATGTTCAGCTCTGACCTGCAGGTATGGATTTATCTAAGATGACAATAGTCTGGATGCAAGAGAAGCTCCAAAATACTTCATGTTATGATATCGAATTTATTTTACTGAGAATTTCCGGTCACGTTGAGCCAGGAGGAGGTCAGGACCCAAGATGCAGAAACCCAGAACGACACAAGGCAGGAGCGTAGTAAAACGTAAAATCCTTTTATTAGGAGTCAATGTCCAAAATTCAGAAATCCAAGAAGGGCAGGACGCCAAGCCTAAAGTCAGGAACCCGACTGACTAAAACTAAAAGCTCTTTGATGAGCAAAACCCAGAGTTTCACGAGGAGGACCAGAACAACACCGACAACGTACCGACACACACTGAGAGACAAGACAGGGTCATATACACAGGGCTGGGTGATGGGAGACGAGGAGCAGGAGCGTGGGGAATGGGGCACAGGTGAAACAATGAACTGAGGGAAGAAGCAGGGGAGAAAACTATCTTAAACCTGTAAACCAAAGCTAGTTAAACAACCCAAACTAAACTTAAACACTAGAACAGAGGCACGGGGAATCTAAAAATAAGTAAACAAGTGATCTACGTGGGGAGCGAGAACTGAGGAGAGACTAGAAGAACAGGAGGGGAACCTGGAGGGAGAACAGGAGGGGAACCTGGAGGGAGAACATGAGGGGGCTGGACCCCAGGGACACAGAACATGTCAACATTACCCGTATTTCTCATGTGTGAGGTCTGTTGTTGCTCATGTTGGTGAGTTCACAGATGGAGGAAATCTTGTTTTTTATTAAACTGAACAGTGATGTTCCTTTGTCAGTGAGCTCTCCATCCTAACAATAACAAGTCATCCAGGTTTTAGTTCCAGAATAAGTATTTTGAATGTAATCAGTATTAAACACATTCTGTTAATTATAATGCATGAGGCTAGTCAGTATTGGCGGGTCAGAACTGTTCTGCTACCAGCAGAATCGGTGCTTCTGCAGCCTTTTGTTTTTATTACATCTCAGAATGTAGCTAGTCCTGTGCACGTATAATAATCACCAACAGAAGAGAAGAGTTGGCCAGTATCGTCGACTTAAAGATGATTCAACAGGTCAGAGCAGAAAAATAATCAACTTTAATTCTGTCCTTAAGTTGGGAATCCCCACGTCCCTCAGCATATTTATTTAATTTTAATTCCTTCACTTGTGTCCTTTAGTTTCAGCTCAGTGAAACTCTTGGTCTGATGTTTTGGTTTGATCTAAATGTGACTCTGTAGGAGCTTCTGATGTGGTCTGAGACTCCACCAGACTGTTTGATACATCTCTGATGTGTGTTTCATTCCTCTCCTCTCAGTTGTTGGGTCCAATCACGGTACCTCCTCTACCTTCACCAGCATTGTCTCCTCGCTCAGGAGGAGAAACGTGGGACATAAAGCGGTGAAGTTGGTGTTCTGCTGACCGTTGAGTGTCAGAAGAAGAGTCACGCCTGCAACAGGTCTCTGATACTCGTGATGTCTCTTTGACGAGGAGGAGGCTTGTCAGTGCAGCCAGTCGGTTTTAGGAGGAGGAGGATGGGGAAGGAGCAGGAGCTGCTGCAGGCGGTGAAGAGTGGAGATCTTCAGTCCACACAGAAGCTGCTGTCCAGGCTGAAGACCAACAGGAACAGTAAGTCTTCCCAATCACAGAATAAACACAAAGATCTGGTAGTGTTGTGGTTCTGGTTCTGGCTCAGTGGCTTGGATCTGAAAGTCGGATCACATGACCTTGTTTAGATCACCTGCTTGTTTGTCTCAGCTGTTTCCTGTCAGATGGCGTTATTAAAAACTGATAATGTCTGCTGGTACCAAAGAGTCCAAAGATCGGTTTGAAACCGGTTTGGTTCTGTTGACTGGGATCTGGTCCATCCAGCTGTTCACAGCTGGAGTCTTCAAACCCAGAGGAACTTTTACTGGAGTGAAACATTCAGAGTTCAGATGGAGGAGCCAGACTCTGTGTTCTGTTCTAATGTTGGTCTCAGAGGAGGATGTAGACATCCGTGGTAAGGCCCCCCCCATCCTCCCCACCCCTTTTGAGGGGCCTCCTTCTGTCTTCAGTGCCCCCTCCCTCCTATTGTTCTCTCCTTGACACGCGTGATGTATCACCTGAACTCCACAGCTCCTTGAACCCTTAAACAGACCTGTCTATAAACTGACCAGGGTCAGGTGTTTCCATGTGGGACCCAGGTTCGGTTCTGTCCCAGCATCTGCTGCTTCCACCCCCAGATGGAGCCCGGTCAGCATTCTGGATGTGAACACAAATGGGTTCTGTTCACCCAGAAAGGCATCTGAAGAAAGTTTTTAACTCCTCACTAGATGATGAGGAAAATTTGCCTCATCAGACACCGTAAGACCCTACGTAAGTCAATGACCTCATGACCTTTAGGGATTTATATGAGCTCACATCGTCACCTCACAACAATACACACAAAATGTCCAAAAGATGTTAAACAAATAAAATGTAACACAAAAACCCGATCTTAACAAGAAGCATCTAAATATGATCAGAACTGGTCCAAAAAGGACCCAAAATAAAACAACACGATTCATCTGAGACCAGCGATGATTCAGTTCAACAGTGATGAGTTAAAAAGTCAGCACACACACAAACGTGTAACTTTCTCACTGCGTCATGGGTTCTTCCATACGTTGGAGCGTGATCACATCTCTGCTTGTTGATGTGAGTTCTGACAAACTCCAGATCTGAGTCTGATCAACATCAGACACAAACGTGTGTCCCGTCTTAGTGGAGGGTGTCGGTTCTCTTCAGGTGCGAGGAAATCTGAATCGCTCAGTCAACTAAACGTACGGATATTCTGTTTTCATGCTTCAGCCGCAGGTAGCAACTAGAAATGATGCTTCAGTTTGAACTGCTTTGTCATGACCTGAGGAGACCTAACAACAATCTTCTTTAGTGTTTCTAAGTTAATAAACTTTTCCTTCACTGGTTTTAGGTTGTTTGAAACTTGACTTCCCCTCAGAAAGAATAAAACAAACTTCATTAAACATCAGCTGAAATCACAGGCTTCTGCCCCGTAAAAGGCCTTCTGGTGTGGGTGTTTTGATCAGAGAGTTTGTTTGAATTGGTGATGCACCAATATGAAATTTTGGGCCGATACCGATATCTGATATTGAGATCACTGACATTAATGCTACTAAAATCAGCAGATTTTGTTTAGAATGAAATTTATTAAAGCTGAATTTACATTATTATGTACACACAACACACATTTTATGTTGTCTTTTATGTTCAGAATCAGGATTTATAAGCTGATGAGAAAAATTTAATAGCATAACATTATATAATATAACCCCTCCACCTTACCGTGGTGGAGGGGTTTGAGTGTCTCAATGATCCTAGGAGCTAAGTTGTCTGAGGCTTTCTGCCTCTGGTAGGGTCACCCATGGCAAACAGGTCCTAGGTGAGGGATCAGACAAAGAGCAGCCCGAAGACCTCTTATGATGAATTATATAAATGGAAACCGTGTTCCCTCGCCCGGACGTGGGTCACCGGGGCCCCCCTCTGGAGCCAGGCCTGGAGGTGGGGCACATTGGTGAGCGCCTGGTGGCCGGGCTTTCACCCATGGAGCCCGGCCGGACACAGCCAGAAGAGGAAACGTGGGTCCCCCTTCCCATGGGCTCACCACTCGTGGGAGGGGCCAAAGGGGTCGGGTACAGTGTGTGACGGGTGGTAGTTGAGGGCGGGGACCTTGGCGGTCTGATCCTCGGCTACAGAAGCTGGCTCTTGGCACATGGAACGTCACCTCTCTGGTGGGGGAGGAGCCTGAGTTGGTGTGTGAGGTTGAGAGGTTCCAACTAGATATAGTCGGACTCACCTCAACGCATGGCTCTGGAACCAGTTTCCTTGAGAGGGGTAGGACTTTCTACCACTCTGGAGTTGCCCCCACTGAGAGGCGCCGAGCAGGGGTGGGCATACTAGTTGCCCCCCATCTTGGTGCCTGTACGTTGGGGGTTACCCTGGTGAATGAGAGGGTAGCCTCCCTCCGCCTACATGTGGGGGGACAGGTTCTGACTGTGGTCTCTGTCCATATGTGCTCTTGACACCAGGATACCTTAGGCCGCAGCTTGATGACAGACTTTGTGGTTGTTTCATCTGACCTGCGGCCGCATGTCTTGGACACTCGGGTGAAGAGAAGTGTGGAGCTGTCAACTGACCACTACCTGGTGGTGAATTGGCTCAATTTCCCTTTGGGATTAATAAAGTTTTTTTGAATTGAATTGAATTGAATGGTGCGGGAGGATGCCGGTCAGACCAGGCAGGCCCAAACGTATTGCGAGGGTCTGCTGGGAACATCTGGCAGAGTCTCCTGTCAGAAGGAGCTTCAATTCCCACCTCTGACAGAACTTCCAAAATGTTCCGGGGGAGGCGAGGGACATTGAGTCTGAATGGACCCTGTTCCGTGCCTCCATTGTTGAGGCGGCCGACTGGAGCTGTGGTTGCAGGATTGTCTGTGCCTGTCGTGGTGGCAACCCCCGAACCCGCTGGTGGACACCGGCAGTTAGGGGGGCTGTCAAGCTGAAGAAAGAGTCCTATCAGGTCCTTTTGGCCTGTGGGACTCCAGAGGCAGCTGACGGGTACCGGCAGTCCAAGCGGAACGCGGCTCGGGTGGTCGCCGAGGCAAAAACCCGGGCATGGGAGGAGTTCGGTGAGACCATGGAGCAAGACTTCCGTATGGCTTCAAGGAGATTCTGGTCCACCATCCGGCGTCTGAGTGGGGGAAAGCAGTGCTCTACCATCACTATCTATAGTGGGGACGGTGTGCTGCTGACCTCTACTCAAGAAGTTGTGGATCAGTGGGCAGAATACTTAGAAGACCTCCTCAATCCCACCAACACGTCTTCCAGTGAGGAAACAGAGTCTGGGGACTTTGGGTTGGTCTCTCAAATCTCTGGTGCTGAGGTCACTGAGGTGATTAAAAAGCTCCTCTGGGGCAAGGCTCCGGGGGTGGATGAGGTCCGCCCGGAGTTCCTTAAGGCTCTGGATGTTGTGGGGCTGTGTTGGCTGACGCGGCTCTGCAATATCGTGTTGACATCGGGGGCAGTCCCACTGGACTGTCAGACCGGGGTGGTGGTCCCCTTATTTAAAAAGAGGGACCGCAAGGTGTGTTCTAACTACAGGGGGATCACACTCCTGGGCCTTTCTGGTAAGGTCTATTCAGGGGTTCTGGAGAGGAGGGTCCGTTGGATTGTTGAACCTCAGATTCAGGAGGAGCAAAGTGGTTTTCGTCCTGGCCGTGGAACACTGGACCAGCTCTATACCCTTAGGGGATCCTGGAGGGTGGGTGGGAATTTGCCCAACCAGTCTACATGTGTTTTATGGATTTGGAGAAGGCGTTTGACCTCGTCCCTCAGGGGGCCCTGTGGGGGGTACTCCGGGAGTATGGGGTACCGGGCCCTCTGATACGGGCTGTTAGGTCCCTGTATGACCGGTGTCAGAGCTTGGTCCGCATTGCCGGCAGTAAGTCGGGCTCGTTCCCAGTGAGAGTTGGACTCTGCCAAGGCTGCCCTTTGTCACAGATTCTGTTCATAACCTTTATGGACAGGATTTCTAGGTGCAGCCAAGGTGTGGAGGGCATCCGTTTTGGTGGCCTGAGGATCAGGTCTCTGCTTTTTGCAGATGATGTGGTCCTGTTGGCTTCATCAGAACATGATCTTCAGCTTTCGCTGGAGCGGTTCGCAGCCGAGTGTGAAGCAGCTGGAATGAGAATCAGCTCCTCTAAATCTGAGACCATGGTCTTGATTCGGAAAAGGGTAGAATGCCTTCTCCGGGCCAGAGATGAGGTCCTGCCCCAAGTGGAGGAGTTTAAGTATCTCAGGGTCTTGTTCACGAGTGAGGGAAAACTGGAACGTGAGATCGATAGGCGGATAGGTGCTGCATCTGCAGTGATGCGGGCGTTGTACCGGTCTGTCGTGGTGAAGAGAGAGCTGAGTCAGAAGGCGAAGCTCTCGATTTACCGGTCGATCTACGTTCCTACCCTCACCTATGGTCATGAGCTTTGGGTAGTGACCGAAAGAACGAGATCACGGATACAAGCGGCCAAAATGAGTTTTCTCCACAGAGTGGCTGGGCTCTCCCTTAGAGATAGGGTGAGAAGCTCGGTCATCCGGGAGGGGCTGGGAGTAGACCCGCTGCTCCTCCACATCGAGAGGAGCCAGCTGAGGAGCCTCCTGGATGCCTCCCTGGTGAGGTTTTCTGGGCACGTCCAACCGGGAGGAGACCTAAAGGTAGACCCAGGACACGGTGGAGGGACTATGTCTCTCACCTGGCCAGGGAACACCTTGGGATTCCCCCGGAGGAGCTGGCCCAAGTGGCTGGGGAGAGGGAAGTCTGGGCCTCTCGCCTTAGGCTACTGCCCCCACGACCCGACTCCAGATAAGCGGATGAAAATGGATTGATAATATAATATAATATAATATAATAAAATATAATATAATATAATATAATATAACATAATATAATATAATATAATATAATATAATAAAATATAATATAACATAATATAATATGATATAACATAATATAATATAATATCATATCATATCATGTAATATAATATAATATAATATAATATAATATAATATAACATAACATAACATAACATAATATAA